AGTAGTTAGATGTTGCGACTTGGACACCTCACCTCTCCAAGATACTTTGAAGGACCTATCTGAGAGGTAAGACTCAAACCACTGGAGTGCGGTTCCTGAGATGCCTTTTGCCAGTAAGGTTGACAGGAGGATCTGGTGGTTAACCGTGTCAAAAGCAGCGGACAGATCCAGCAAGATAAGTATTGGAAGATTTGGAATCCGCTCTTGCCAGTCTTAGGGCTTCAACAACTGAGAGCAAGGCAGTCTCGGTTGAATGTCCACTTCTGAAACACTGACTGGTTGCTGTCGAGGAGGTTGTTCTGTGTGAGAAAGGCAGAGACTTGGTTGAACACAGCTCGTTCAAGTGTTTTTGCAATGAAAGGAAGAAGTGAAACCGGTCTGTAGTTCTCTAAAAAAGATGGGTTAAGGGTGGGTTTCTTAATTAGAGGGGTTATATGAGCCTGTCTAAATGTTGAGGGAAAAACACCAGTGTGAAGGGATATGTTAATGATGTGAGTGAGTGCAGGTACAACTACAGGAGAAATGGTTTGAAGGAGATGAGATGGAATAGGATCAAGCGGGCAAGTAATAGGATGATTAGAAAGGATGAGTTTGGAGACTTCTGCCTCAGAGAGTGAAGAGAAGGATGTGAACAAGTGTATGCTTGTTGGTAAGATGTGCTTGACAGATTGTGGTGTGGAAAATTGTGCACTGATGGTTTTATTTTATTAATGAAGAATGTGGCAAAGTTGTCAGCTGTTAGAGTTGATGAAGGAGGGGGAGGAGGAGGACAAAGGAGGGAGGAAAATGTTTTAAAGAGCATGCAGCGGATGATGAGCGGTAACAAAACTCCCAGACATTTACAGTCACACACAGGCGTAGTAAAGTGCAAACTCTACTACTCTAAACTCTACTTAGATAACTATATAAGAATTTATAGGTTTACGTTTTTGAAAATATTTAGTTTACAGATCTGTTTAAATACTTCAATTTGTTTTCTGTTCTATTCTATTCTATGTTTAAATGCTTCAGTTTGTTTTTATATTATATTATATTATAAACCTAATAAAAAATTGACCTCAAAAAGTGAATTCCTGAGCAATATCTGCTTCATTTTTTTATGAGACATTATATAATATTATATTATATAATATTATAACAAAGAATTGAACTGTTCTGTTCTTTAAAAAAAAAAAGTAATAGAATTTCTTGGTAACAGCACTGTAAAAAATGTTTTCTCAGATAACCTAAAATGTGGTCAAGGGTCAAATCAAATATTAATAGCACATTAAAGTTAAAAGTTACACACATTTTTGTGTGTGTGCGCACTGTACAGGTCTGGTATAAAGAATGTTTTTGCTCAAGTGGCCGAAAATGTCCGCACAATAGAGAAAAGTTTTGCTCAGCAAGAAAAAAAATTAGAGGGAACATTGGTCCGGGAGGGAGGGGTTTGGTGGCGGTGTTTTCTTTTCTTTTTTTTTTCTTCCTGTGGACTAAGAAAACAGCCTTCGGCAATAGTATAAAAGTAGCCCAATTGACACTTCGCAGAGACCAGCCCCCCTTTGTTACTGTTGCTATGTCCGACAATCCACACCGCATGTTCAGTGAAAATTACATCGCAGAGCAAAGAGGACACTGACAACACGCCGACAGACAAGACAGAGCAGGTTACTTTACGTATAAATCAAAGTCTCAGCTTTAAAATTGGTTCATTTATGAAATTCAAACAATAAATGACGTTTTGTGGCTCTTTAATGTGTTGTGACAGATCGCTGTAGCACCTCAGTTCAAGCGACACGTGAACTGATCATCACTTTCTCTTTACTAGTTATAGCACAAAATAAACATGAATGAACATCAGAAGGTATCTTGTTTCAACCACGGAAAGACGTCAATCCACCATTTTTTAAGTTCAAGTCCACCAACATTAATCTACTCTCCTGTCTGGTTTGTTTGTCGGACAAAAATGGACAAACCGTGATTCGGTGTTATGATTGGTCAGATCACCTGTCAATCAAACTTCCAGCGAAGGGTCAATTCTGTGGGAAAACCGCAGACTTGGAAACACTGTAGATATAAACTCAGAATTCAGACTTTTTTCTCAGAATTCTGGATTTACAACCCATTATCCATTTTTTTTTCATCATGCATTAAAAAATAAAAATGGTAATTGTGACTTTTTATCGTTTGTATTTCACAATTTGGATATTTCTTCTCAGAATTATTATAACTCAGAGTTATAATTCTCATAATTCAAAGTTTACTTCATAAAATTCTGTGTTCATATCTCGCAATTATTTTTTTCTCATAATTGTGGGATAAAAAGCATCAATTTGCAAAAACTGTTTCTTTATAAGTTTTTGTGAAATTAACTAGCAATATCTGAGTGAAAATTGTTTCACCAATAATTTTTCAGTGCAATGGTTTAACTAGTTTTACTTCAAGATCCAGATTCTACAGCAGACATTAAACGGCAGCCCAACACAGAACCAACATTGTGTACCAAACATTTAAATTTAAAGTATTACCATAAACCCCATCCAGCCCAGTGTTAATGTCATGCAGTTTGCAAATGTAAATGCATTATTCAAATGTAACCATGCATTTGCAAATATGAGTTATTATATATATATATATATATATATATACTGTATATATATATATGGCTTGATTCAGTGTTACAATTACATTAAAAATTTTAATAATTTGTTACAACGTTAATGTTTTTACTGTTTTTCATCTGATAAAAGATAAAATTAAATTCTTACTGACCCTGTAAGTCTTGATTGGTTGTATATATATATATATACTGTATATATATGTATGTATATATAATTTTATTTTATGCTAATTTGATGGTTTTGTGCTCTCAGTAGCCAATATGTTGCTAGCCACAACAAATTGCAATTGACACAAACCATGTTTATCTTCAATGCAAGTGAATCCTGGAACGATGAGAAATCAGAGGACAGTAAATACTCAATGAGACACCTGATGACTGATGCCCATGTGATCTGGATGAAATTGAGAGGGTCTTTATCAGATCTCAGTCACACTTCCTGTTTTTGAAAGGGCACAGACAGATTTCACAGATGATTCTGCAAAAATAAGAAGCAAACAATACACATTTTATAAGACGTTCAGATAGCGCGTGTGATTGCCGCAGCAGAAGTGAGAAACAGTTTACCGTTGCAATAGTGCTGCTTCCGGTCTGAATGGGGGAAACTAAGTGCGTCTGGCTGCTTGATTGTCACGCAAAGGCCCGGCTAATCATCACTGCACCGTTGGGCCCTCAGACGCAGAAACAGGAAGTGAGCAGGCGACAGAGGAAGTTGTTGGTTTTTTGATGGCCATTGCCGTGGTTTTCAGACTTCTCTCACAGAAGGGGGGGACAGTCAGATGTTCAGCGTGGAAGTGGTTCATGAGTTGTTCTGAATGCTTCATTAGTGAATCACTTTGCATCAGAAAGATTTGAAATTCCTGTTGCTCAAAAAGTGAAATGTGGCACCAGCAATGGCAAGGTCATGGGTTTGATTCCCATGGAATGCATGAACTGATCAAAAGTATATCTTGAATGCAATGTAAGTCACTTTGCATAAAAGTGTCTGCCAAATGCATATAGGTAAACTAAATCCTTATCCATAGACCTTTGTCAGGGTAGCATGTACTTTATAGTGCATCAAATGGATTGTACTGCTGTTTGTTGTTCAGCTGATGAAACAAAATTTCAGTAAACAAACTCCATAAAACAGTTTTGAAAGTTGTTTAAATTACATGATCTAGGACCTTTATACAGTTTGTGCCATTATAATTACGAATGATAGATGAAGTCTATCCCTCACAGCCTCATGTGTTAAATTCAGTATGGCATATAACCTGGTTAAGGTCTGTTGAACACACACAACTGGAAAGGTCATGGAGGCCAAAAAGTGTGGGAACCCTGGAGTAAATAATAACCGAATTTTAATTATCAAGAGATTTACTCTTATACATCAGACAAAACAGACCATAAAAAAAGAGTAAAGCTTAAAACATCATTTTGCAGAATCATGCCAACAGCAAATCAGAATCAAGCCAAATGATACTATTATTATTGCACTAGTACTAGTTGAATGTCATCTGAAGAAACCAGAGCTCCCACCACAGACCAGTCACCTTCCTGCCCTGTGATACCACACTTCACCATAGACAGGACAGGTCATGACAGGACTGGAGGATTAGTTATGACTTTAAGTCTATATGAAACTAAGAAAGGATAAATCGAAATCGCAAAAGTAATTTAAAGCAAATCTGTTTCTTACAGTGTAGTTTTATGAGATGGAAGGCCACTATGACTCAGTCTGAGCTTCTCTTGTGGCCAAACACTGATCTGCTGACTTGTGCTGGGAAATCCTGAGAATTTCCATATCCACTTCCTTGTACCATTCTCAAGGAACTGATAATGCTGAGATTAGTGTTCAAAATATTTTCCTTTTCAGGTGATTTTAGAGCACCTTTGCAGATCTGTTTGTGGATTTTTTGGGATAGATATATACATTCACTTTCTATACAAAAAAAAATAAAAAATAGTTACACTATCGTTCATAAGTTTAGTGCTGGTAAGATTTTTAAATGTTTTTCAAAGAAGTCTATCATACTCACCAAGGCTGCATTTATTTGATTACAAAATACAGTAAAACAGTAATATTGTGAAATATTATTACAATTTAAAATAACAGTTTTCTATTTGAATATATTTTAAAATGTAATTTATTTCTGTGACACAATGCTGAATTTTCAGCACCATTACTCTAGTCTTCAGTGTCACGTGATCCTTCAGAAATCATTCTAATATGCTGATTTGCTTTTCAAGAAACATTTCTGAATATTATCAATGTTGAAATCAGTTGTGCCACCTAATTTGTTTTTTGTTTTTGTGGAAACTGATACTTTTTTTTTTCTTTTTAATTCGTTGATGAATAGAACATTTAAAAGAGCAGCATTTATTTGAAACAGAAATCTTCTATGAGATTATAATTGTCTTTACTGTCACTTTAAATTTAAAGGCAGAGTAGGTGATTTTTTTTTTACGCTGGTTGAAAATCTCTTCAAATCCCGACAGCAATCATTAAGTTAAATGGTCTATTTATATGTATTTATATAGTCTGTGGAAGGCGTAGGCCCATAATATGTTCGTCCAATCATATTCCTCGGTCCGAGGGCTAAAATAGGCTGTCCTACCTGCCTGTCAATGTATATATTTGCATACCTTCAATTTAAAGGCAGAGTAGGTGATTTGGTTCAAAACCTTTTTTTTTACGCTGGTTGAAAGTCTCTTCAAATCCCGACAGCAATCATTAAGTTAAATGGTCTATTTATATGTATTTATATAGTCTGTGGAGGCGTAGGCCCATAATATGTTCGTCCAATCATATTCCTCGGTCCGAGGGCTAAAATAGGCTGTCCTACCTGCCTGTCAATGTATATATTTGCATACCTTCACACACCCTGTTTACGCAGACATGATACGTCATCAGCGCTTTCCAGTACGCTATTGCAGACCGAGCGAGAATGGAGGTGCTATTATTGTAACATTATGCACTTTGTACTGTAATGTTTTCCCACTGGTGAATGAGACATGAGGTAATCTGACAGCGTAGCATTCAACCCTTTACCAACGCCGTCTCTCATCATGTCGCTGCTTAGCCTCTGGTCTGCCTTTGAGCGTTCATGTGTTTTGAAGGAGGTGTGGCTTTGGAGACTGATTTGCAGGGAGAGTGGGATTCTTATGCTTTCAATGCTATCTTGCTATTGTTAGCCTCTCCGAAATCACCTACCCTACCTTTAATGCATCCTTACTCAGTAAAATAAAAAAAGACAAGTCAATATGTGCTACAAATCTTGCTCTCTGTCATAGCGTGCAGCATCAATGTCAAACCTAGCACAATGTTTTTTGATGCAGCTTAAACTGGATGACATCTGAGCGCTACAGCCTGGGTGAAGAAAAAGAAGAGTTTTAACCCCAAAGCTGAGGTCGTGTCTAGGTGTGCTGTTTTCAGACAGATGGTATTGAGAAATAGATGCTGTTATTTCACAAGTGGCAAGATGGTATCAGTGATATCACCCACAATAACCCGATCCCAGCTTTATGAATCTACAGCTGTTTGCCACACGCTCCAGCAGATGAGGCCTGTGGTGACCATTCGACAGATTCAAGACGGTGTAGTGGCTGCAACTCGGGTTGTCAAAAGCCACTCTCCTCTCAGCGATTTCGTTCACCATACGAGGAAGAAACAGAGGCCCTTTACTTCATCTTTGTGATGAGGTTTCGGTGTGCTTACAGAGATGTGGAAAGCCTGCTGTTACTGAGGGTAAGTGCCACAAACCAAGGTGAGGCAGGTTTTCGAACACTCAGAGATAAGAGTAACAGGGATTGCATTTGCTAACCATAAAAGACTTACGGCACGACATAAAAACAACCACTGAACATGATGAGAAGTAAGTTTAGAGGTGGTTTGGGCCGCACCCTTCCTCCGTTAACCAACAAGAGCACCTTTCCTCACCACAGTGGTGGGCATTACTGTAGATTCACCCACAGATCATCCCACGACTGGTTCACGGATTGTCTGATGCCAATCGCACACTAATATGGTAAAGTCTGATCTGATAGGCTGACTTTCAGAAGTCAAGATCCACAGGATTTTGATCGTCCCATTGGGAAACAAAGGCTGCGGCCAAGCCAAGCCAACCTTGAGAAGCTGCAATAATTCATACAAAACGATGAAAAGAAATTTGTGGGTTGTACACAAATGAACAATTTCAATCTAAACCTAGAGTCCAATCCCTTAGCCAAACTATAAACTTAACCATGACAGTAATACAGCAGTTCTCAAACAGGGGGCCTCAAGATGACTTGAAGTGATTTAAAATAAGACTTACTTTTGGATAAATGAGGTAACCTAATTTTTGTTGTGGACAATGTGGGGCAGATGCTTCCTTCATGCTTTCGATATCCCACAATTCTGTGTCTGCAGACTGCCGGTTAAAGGAAGTAAAAAAGGCGTATGAGTAAAGTAAATTTTTATTGGGGAAATAACAAGAATAAGATGAGTTTGGTCTGGTTTTCTGGGATTTTAAAATTTATAGCTAAAATGAATTTTTTTTTTTTTTAATGATTTTTTTAGACATAAACTAGCAAACAGATTACCTCAAAGCTAGCAGACTAATGTTGCTATTGCTAACCTATATTAAAATATTAATATTATAAAATATAAATATGAGACAGAACTTAACCAGAAAACTTTAAAAAACTGAAATAAATAAAAACTACTGTTACTAAACTTAAATTAAACACATTTTAACAACAAAAACTAATACAAATGCACATAACAAAAGTAAATAAATAAAATGTTTACAAGAATTCAAATGAAAACTGAAAATAAAAAATAAATGCTAAATTAAAATAGTAATATATAAATAAAAGTAAAATGCCAGACATGAACTAAAAGCCACTAAAGCCACTAAAAGATCTCACTATTGGAGTGAGATTTAGACTGCATGGAAATATATGTACAAATAACTAATATCAGAATTAACGTGATGCTAACATAGAGGTTTCGGTATATAAATATGAACCACCATTGAGGTTTTAATGGCTTTGACCTGCTGATAGTGAGCTCAAGCTGAGGTTTCCAGAGTCTGGGCTCAGTTTCCCGAGTTATGAGAAACTAATGACAATTGATCTTTATCAAATTTTAAAACAGAGGGAGAGAGAGGGTTATCCTGCCCGCGGCCTGACCACTGCGGCCTGGCTGGAGGTAGTCTGCCTCGGACTGAGTTTCATAGACTCAATGTATATTAAACCTGAGATGGAATTTCATACACAGATGCTGCCTGTCTTCTGTCCTTCCAACGAAGCCGAAAGAAGTGTCTCTGCTTTCACGTTATGTCTCTTTCCAAAAAAATGTATCTAATGATGAACTATTTAACTCCATATTTTCCCCCCTTTGTATTAGTGTTTCACATTATTAGCTTAGAGACATGCTATTGTGAAACGAATAATTGTGAAAGTCATCATGAAACGGAAGTTGTAATGTTTTCTTCCTAACTGTGACGTATATAACAGTCAAACAGCTTCTTGCACAAGAAAAAAAAATGTAGAGTGGTAATTTATTTGAAAATATAATAATAATGATGCTATGAATAGATAAATCATTTATAATAAACACTGCAGAATTTCAATAACAAAAAAAAAATATGAATTGTCCATTTTTATTTCATGGTGATTTAAAAATCCTTAGAGATTTTAAGACTGTATATACTTACAGAAGGTGGTTCAGTGGTCACCCAGCTTGGCCAGACTGGTTAGGCTGATCTGTTTTGGTGGTTTTAAAGGGCTGCAGGTCAAACTGGGAGACCAGCT